CAATCATATCACATCTCCTTATTTCTATATCATACCTCTCTGTTGGATAGTTTCTCATTGGCAATCATACCACATCTCCTTTTTTCTATATCATACCTCTCTGGTGGATAGTTGTCTTATTAGCAATCATACCACATCTTCTTATTTCTATATCATACCTCTCTGGTGGATAGTTGTCTCATTAGCAATCATACCACATCTTCTTATTTCTATATCATACCTCTCTGATGGATAGTTTCTCATTGGCAATCATATCACTTCTCCTTATTTCTCTATCATACCTCTCTGGTGGATAGTTGTCTCATTGGCAATCATACCACATCTCCTTATTTCTATATCTTACTTCTCTGCTGGATAGTTGTCTCATTGGCAATCATACCACATCTCCTTATTTCTATATCATACCACATCTCCTAATTTCTATATCGTACCACATCTCCTTATTTCTATATCTTACCTCTCTGTTGGATAGTTGTCTCATTGGCAATCATGCCACATCTCCTATTTCTATATCATACCTCTCTGATGGATAGTTGTCTCATTGGCAATCATACCACATCTCCTTATTTCTATGTCTTACCTCTCTGCTGGATAGTTGTCTAATTGGCAATCATACCACAACTCCTTATTTCTATATCATACCTCCGTTGGATAGATGTCTCATTGGCAATCATACCACATCTCCTTATTTCTATATCATACCACTTCTCCTAATTTCTATATCTTACCGCATCTTCTTATTTCTATATCATACCTCTCTGGTGGATAGTTGTTTCATTAGCAATCATGCATACCACATCTCCTTATTTCTATATCATACCTCTCTGATGGATAGTTGTCTCATTGGAAATCATACCACATCTCCTTATTTCTATATCATACCTCTCTGATGGATAGTTGTCTCATTAGCAATCATACCACATCTCCTTATTTCTATATCATACCTCTCTGATGGATCCTTGTATCATTGGCAATCATACCACAACTCCTTATTTCTACATCATACCACATCTCCTTATTTCTATATCTTACCACATCTCCTTATTTCTATATCTTACTTCTCTGTTGGATAGTTGTCTCATTGGCAATCATACCACATCTCCTATTTCTATGTTTTACCTCTCTGGTGGATAGTTGTCTCATAGGCAATCATACCACATCTCCTTATTTCTATATCATACCTCTCTGGTGGATAGTTGTCTTATTGGCAATCATACCACAACTCTTTATTTCTATATCATACCTCTCTGGTGGATAGTTGTTTCATTACAAATCATGCATACAACATCTCCTTATTTCTATATCATACCTCTCTGATGGATAGTTGTCTCATTGGAAATCATACCACATCTCCTTATTTCTATATCATACCTCTCTGATGGATAGTTGTCTCATTGGAAATCATACCACATCTCCTTATTTCTATATCATACCTCTCTGGTGGATAGTTGTCTCATTGGCAATCATACCACATCTCCTTATTTCTATATCATACCTCTCTGGTGGATACTTGTATCATTGGCAATCATACCACAACTCCTTATTTCTACATCATATCACATCTCCTTATTTCTGTATCTCACCACATCTCCTTATTTCTATATCTTACCTCTCTGTTGGATAGTTGTCTCATTGGCAATCATACCACATCTCCTATTTCTATATCATACCTCTCTGATGGATAGTTGTCTCATTGGCAATCATACCACATCTCCTTATTTCTATATCATACCTCTCTGATGGATAGCTGTCTCAATGGCAATCATACAACATCTCCTTATTTCTATATCATACCTCTCTGATGGATAGCTGTCTCAATGGCAATCATACCACATCTCCTTATTTCTATATCATACCTTTCTGGTGGATAGTTGTCTAATTGGCAATCATACCACAACTCTTTATTTCTATATCATACCTCTCTGATGGATAGTTTCTCATTGGCAATCATACAACTTCTCCTTATTTCTATATCATACCTCTCTGATGGATAGTTGTCTCATTGGCAATCATACCACATCTTCTTATTTCTATGTTTTACCTCTCTGCTGGATAGTTGTCTAATTGGCAATCATACCACAATTCCTTATTTCTATAGCATACCTCTCTGTTGGATAGATGTCTCATTGGCAATCAAACCACATCTCCTTATTTCTATATCATACCACATCTCCTAATTTCTATATCTTACCGCATCTTCTTATTTCTATATCATACCTCTCTGGTGGATAGTTGTTTCATTAGCAATCATGCATACCACATCTCCTTATTTCTATATCATACCTCTCTGATGGATAGTTGTCTCATTGGAAATCATACCACATCTCCTTATTTCTATATCATACCTCTCTGATGGATAGTTGTCTCATTAGTAATCTTACCACATCTCCTTATTTCTATATCATACCTCTCTGATGGATACTTGTATCATTGGCAATCATACCACAACTCCTTATTTCTACATCATACCACATCTCCTTATTTCTATATCTTACCACATCTCCTTATTTCTATATCATACCTCTCTGGTGGATAGTTGTCTCATTGGCAATCATACCACATCTCCTTATTTCTATATCATACCTCTCTGGTGGATAGTTGTCTCATTGGCAATCATACCACATCTCTTTATTTCTATATCATACCTCTGTGATGGATACTTGTATCATTGGCAATCATACCACAACTCCTTATTTCTATAACATACCACATCTCCTTATTCCTACATCATACCACATCTCCTTAATTCTACATCATACCACATCTCCTTATTTCTACATCATACCACATCTCCTTATTTCTACATCATACCACATCTCCTTATTTCTACACCATACCACATCTGCTTATTTCTACATCATACCACATCTCCTTATTTCTACACCATACCACATCTCTTTATTTCTACATCATACCACCTCTCCTTATTTCTACATCATACCACATCTCCTTATTTTTACATCATACCACATCTCCTTATTTCTACACCATACCACATCTTCTTATTTCTACATCATACCACATCTCCTTATTTCTACATCATACCACATCTCCTTATTTCTACATCATACCACATCTCCTTATTTCTACATCATACCACATCTCCTTATTTCTACACCATACCACATCTCCTTATTTCTATATCTTACCACATCTCCTTATTTCTACATCATACCACATCTCCTTATTTCTACACCATACCACATCTCCTTATTTCTATATCTTACCACATCTCCTTATTTCTATATCATACCTCTCTGATGGATAGTTGTCTCATTGGCAATCATACCACATCTCCTTTATTTCTATATCATACCTCTCTGGTGGATAGTTGTCTAATTGGCAATCATACCACAACTCTTTATTTGGTTTTGTTCTGTTTGTCCAAGAGTTTTTGCCCTTTCACAGATATGCTGGCCTTCAGCTTTCCTGAAAAAACATTATTTGTCGAAATGCGCATCTTGTGCATACCATTTGTACCGTTTATGTTGTTAAAAATACCAATCTATCAAAATTTGATTACACGATGCAGTTTGAGTTTATCTCCTTCTGCTGGTCAACAGATTTACAATTGTAGCCCATTGTACTAAAAGGTTTTTTTGTATATTAAAACACGTGCAGTGCGGTGCAGCGAAAAAATCAAATATCTGTTTTTAACATTGAATTATTCGAAGCACTAAGGTTGATCTATCCCGGTCATTAGTTGCCTAAGGTTGATCTATCCCGGTCGTTAGTTGCCCAAGGTTGATCTATCCCGGTTACTATTATTATTAATTATTATTATTATTGTTATGACTTTTTTTATATGCACTCCATCAAAATCCGTTTGTTATACATTGCTACCGCATTTTTCTCAGAAATGGAGTATAATATGGAAAAAGTCACGTGAAGACAAGTGCTTAACAAATATTAGGATACTTTTCCTCTCTACCTAAGGCTTTTTCATTTGTCTTTTTCGTGATGTTGTCTGCATTACCATGTATTCGGTGAATTATGGGTATGAAATAAAGAAAGAAGGAATTGTTCACTTATAAAACGGCACAAAGGGAGTCACAAGTGTTAAAATTTCATATTTACCATGCAGAAGTTTCGTATTAGTCAGCTTCTCAGCTGACACTTCGTGAAAAAAAAATATGACATATGAAAATAATATGTACTATAGGAGAAATATGCTTAAAAACTCGCGCATAGGATATCGTTAGATTTCAACTTTCTTTGTTTCATTTCAATGATTATGATATGAAATAAAACTAAAAAAATAGTTTATAATTATTTTCATAAAAAGTGATTCCAGATGATATTGAGCGATATCCAATTCTTACTTACGAATGTATCAAACCTATAATTAGCTCACTGTAAGTATTGATTTATCTTATTGTTTTCCTTAACGAACCCATATCAAATATATATACCATAAACATACATAAAGATTTAAACGCTCAATAAGTCTTTTGTGACGTCAATGACTGATATCTGACTTCGTGCCAGTTTCATATATATTGTTCAAAAGGGAAACTGATATCAAAGTGAGTATATATGTCAATATATAATCGATCGTTGAATAAGTTTTTTGTCAACCAATATCAACTGATCAAATAGATTTTTTTTAAAGGGTCCTCTTTTGTTTTTGTTATATATAATTAACACTGTCGATGATATTCAACTTTGTTGTACTAAGTAGCTGATAATCCGACTTGAGCTGCTGCAACTTAGATCAAATACATTGATTGGTTTCAGAAATTCCTTGTTAAACTATGATAATTTTTAGGGGAAAACACTATTATATATATAATAAGCTTTACCAATTCCTTTTAAAGTTGAATAACCAAAAACTTAAACATTTTGACAGTCGTTTATTTCTCTAATAAACGATGTTGGCAAGACCATGTCAAATTTATAATAAAAGAATCTTATTTAAAGAGTCAACATTCTAAGGAAAGTTAGAAACGTACTCGTTCGGTTCACTCTGTAAACATTATATATGTCCTTTATAAGACCAATAAAAGCTCATAATGTTTATTTATAAGATAGAATTGAAAACATTCAGCTTGATGCCACACGCATATAGTTACAGGGGTAGCAACCTTACAGATGTCGATAAATATAAAAAGTTAAAGGCAAAATAACTTAGAAATTCAAACAAGAACTGGGTTTTATTCTGGATAGTTCTTACCTATAACACTGAAATTGTGAAATAAGATACCTTTTTATTAGACAACGTGACTCTTTCTTTCATACCTTTTCTTTAATTTGAAATATTACAAACAATCTATACAGTAAATGCATAAAAATCATATACTATAGCGTTGGTGGACACTATTGGAATGTTGACAGTGTAACCGGATAGCAATTTTTACATCTTAAGATTTATTTTGGTAGTTTCAACATACACATATAAAATTCAGAATGGAAATTGGGAATATGTCAAAAAGACAACAACCCGACCAAAGAGCAGACAACAGCCGAAGGCCACCAATGGGTCTTCAATGCAGCGAGAAAATCCCGCACCCGGAGGTGGTCCTCAGCTGGCCCCTAACTAAAATTGTGTGCTAGCTCAGTGAAAATGGACGTCACACTAAACTCCAAAACATATAAATGAACTAAAATTAAAAAACATACTAGACTAGCAAAGGCCAGAGGCTCCTGACTTGGGACAGGCGCAAAAATGTGGAGGGGTTTAACATATGCAAATTTCTTAGGTTTATAATATATTTGCAACTCCCTATATTTTCTAGCGACCAACCAAATACAAGATTGAAATCTTAAAATGTTACAATAATTTCTTATTTGTCTTGTAATACTATATAACATAAAACAGTACAATGTACTATATACAATATTTACAAAAATACAATGAATATAAAGAAATAATTAGATGGAGTCAAGTAGATAACTGTACACTGTTACGATAATTTCAAATAATTAAACCAATGTAACTTCTTCTATAAAAGTCATATTATAATTTATACATCACTTGTGGAAAATTTTTCGACTGATGATATTTCGCAAGTATGAAAAAAACGTTATTTCATTTCACATATGAGTTGACGAAGGAGAAATGGTGTTGTTTTTCATTTCTTCTGATAAAATATCTGGAGTCAACTGGTTTGTTTTGGTGATAGTTTCTGGATCCATGGGTTCCTGGATATTAGAGAACTTCTTGTATTTCTCTTCTTTAAATCGTCGCGCGGTATTTTTTGCATCGATTAGATAGAAAGGACACAAAACAACTGCAATGGCGAATGCTGTTAGGCACATGATACAACCATAACTTATTCTTAATGTTCCCAAGAAATCTGATTTCAGACCTGTTGCAATGGCAATCATCAAACAGTTGACTGAAATTAAAATAAAAAAAAAAACAACAATAAAATACATCTCTTATTTATATTGCTGCGAGAAATATGTGATAAAATGTTTATTGGTGAGATTTTTAACGACAGGATGAATTTAATTCAAACAATCAACTAGACTACAAATGAAATCTCAACTAGTCATGTGACATATGACGCTAATCAAGCAAAAATCACCCTTAATTTGGTGTCGTTGTCGGGAATCAACGCCAAAAGTTTACGTACATCAAACCGATAAGTTTCACGTTGAAATGCAGGTATCTTTAACATTACGCTAAATATCTTATTATCTATTGTCTCAATAAACCAGATTATTGGTCATCAATTACTTATAAAAAATCCCCTATTGTTAGTTGAATGAAAATGTTGGGCTTTTTATGGCTTACAATACGGTATATATATATATATATATATATATATAGGTTTTGCTCATTGCTAAAGACAGTTCGGTGACCTAATGTTGCTTACATCTACGTTAATTTGTATCTAGCTTACAGTTGTCACATTGGCAATCATACCATAGCTTCCTATCTTTATATTAATGTTTGCTTGCTAATGACTTACATTCAGTGGCAATTATTACATGTATATTCAGGACAATATCGTTTTCATACATGTAATATTAAGATGCCCAACTTTGTTTTGGACCAACACTCTGGGGTCGTCAGAGCTCACAGTGTAACAGTCAGCAAGAATTCACCAAGTTCGCACTCATATTTTTTATATTTAGCCTAATAGTCATTGCTCTTCCTCCTAAATAACTTATGCTCGTCGGAAAAAGCAGCAAATTTTTTATTTACTCTTAGTTTGATATGGTAGGAGAATGCACCCATGTCCCCGCACTCGAGGAACAATCAATCAAATATTTAAAGAAAACTTAGATATTCAACCGTTTCTTTTTTGTGTCGCTGCTTCTTTACATTATTTTATAAAATTCAATGCAATTCTTATAACAACAATGAAATTTTAAAACATTGATTGCATCCAGAAAGCAGTTTTCTTTTAATCAACAGACTAGTAGTTGTCGTTCGTTACTGTATATCATATTTGTTCTTCGTTTATTGTTTTGTGCATAAATCAATCAATTATTTATTACTCGTTTGAATTGTCTTACATTTGTCATTTCAGAGCCATTTGTCGCTTATTATACGATATGGGTTTTGCTCATTGTTGAAGGCTGTACGGTGACCTAAGGCTGTTAACTTCTAAGTAATTTGGTTTTGGTTGGAGAGTTGTCTCATCAGCAATCATACCACATCTTCTAAATTTTATATAGTAATTCATTTTGTATCCGCGAATAAAAAAATTAAAGTAATTAAAGCAACCTTTTAGACCTTATGCAAAGTATCATTTTAATCGCTATTGACCTTTCAGTAGCAATTATCAAATTGAATATACTTACATGTAATAAGGTCAGCAATCACAACAAAGAACTTCGTCATTCCGACAGCCCTGGAACTTTTGATACAACAGGAGCAAAATGTCATCGATACTATGATCACAAATATGGTATAGGCCACTATTCCTATGGAGAAGGAGGCTTGGAACAGGAAAAAAAGCATGTCTGAAATTTAAAAAAAATATAGCTTTATGAAAACTCGCGTTATCAGCTATCCTCGGTCGAAGAGTCAGGGTTGGTTATTGTTAACATATCACGATGTCCATCGTCATCTTCGTAATTAAAAGGTGTACTACTCCGGTCCTATTTTTGGCTTCAAAATGGTTATTTTAAATACATTTTATGACATAGATATGTTTCATCTGCATATAGACATAAGATTTTGAGAAAAAAATAATTACTTGAAGTATTACTTCGTTTTGACTGACGCTTTTAATTTTCAAGATAAGATTATATAAGAAATACAAAGGGAACAATCATAACCAAAGAGGAGCCAACACATTTTTCAGAAGAACAAGCTATAACGAATCTATTAAACATTCAGAAAACTTATATCTCAGAAAAGAGCAAATATTAATTAATTCAGACTTGACTAACATTCAGTAGGATTATAAATCACCAATATTTCCTTTTTACAGTCTTCAATGTGTTTTAGAATATATATTATTCACCCAAAATGTCTTAAATTGTATATATCCTATTTGTGACGCCGGTATGCTTGAAAAGCCTTAATAACTTATCAACGACGTCTAAGTGTTTTGCCGAATGTTAAAAAGTTTGGTCCCACACAAAATGTCCTATTCCGATTTGCTGGTAAAACAAGGAAATTTATTGTTTCGTCATATTGATATTGTAAACTATCAGTCGCTCGACACAATATGAAGGCTTTTTTTAAATCGTTCGTTGTGCTCACCTGACAAAAAGCTTCATAGTGCGACTCACAGCTGATATTTTACAATACATATATGCTGAACACTGTATAGTCAATACGTACAGTGTAAACAATTCTACTGTTGTCTCCGGTAGTAAATATATCAGATACGTTCTATGTTCAAATAATACAAAATAATTGGGTTGCTCACCCAATTCGTCAATACAACGGAACTATAAAACAACTTTCATACAAGTTTGAGGTTTAACTAGCTATAAAACCCGGTTTAACCCACCATTTTCTTCGGAAAATGCCTGTACCATGCAAGTCAGGAATATGACAGCTGTTTTTCATTCGTTCTGTTGGTTGATAACGTTCGATTTTGTCAGTTTTTATGGACTTCCCCCTTTTTTAATTTTCCTTGAATTTCGGTATTTTTGTTAAACTTTTTTACTAACCTTTTCCTTTGATATCTCTACAGTCCCATTCTCCATCCGATTCACGGGCACACATTTGATGAATCCCAAGGGATCCAGTAACGCCATTGTGTCTGAACTTAGTCCAAGCTGGATAGAAATACGATACAATACAGAGGACTAAACCTCCTAGCGACAGCAGAAAGGCTATGATTCTCAAACACGTAGAAGCAGGCTTCTGTGGTAAGCAAACCATTTTCTCTTATTTATCTAGTTCAACAAAATTGTTATTAAATATTACTTTCTATATATTTAATACAATTGAAGCAGTCAAGGAAAACATAAACTGTACATTGAAGAGTTCAATTGTTTTATTGACACGAAATCTATTGAAAACTTTTAGAGTGAAACAAAAGCTAGATGATAACTCGAGTAGAGAACCTTTTAGTATTTAATACTTATTTCACTTATTGTTAAATTCCCTCTTTTTCAAAACGTTTGATGATCCCATAAGTAAGGTACGTTTGACATATCTCTTTAAATAACTATGTATACGTATTTGTTTTGATGTGACCGTATTTTTAAGGAACAAAGTCATTAGAATTTATTGTTCTTGCATACTAGGTTAACGTTGATGCAGGGAGTTCATTTATCGACTTATTACCGGCCTTAACATTAATGTTGAAATTCTCTTTGATGCAGAATCATATTTTTTTGTTATTTAACTGTACTTTTCTCTAATAGCATTATGTTATAGCTAAGTGCTATTTCTGTATCTTGTTTATCAAAATGAACACTGAAAACGTCGATAAAAATGTCGATAAAAAAAATCCAGTTATGAGGCTCAAACCCCAGCTGAAAATTTTCAAATCTCCAGTTGTGTCTTGACAACTCTGTCACATGTATGAAACCTTGTCGTTGGTTTTCTTATTTATCATTATAATGTTTAAATATCTATTTTCATAAAGTTAATCGATCAGCATGAACTTCTTAACGCAATACAACATATTTTTTATTTTACGTTTTTTTGGGTTTTTTTTTCTCATTTTCCTGTGACTCCTTCTCATAGAAATTAAGTAAATTCCACATGTGAATGTTGCAGGACTTCTCACATTTCAATAGCACAATGTGTTCAAAAATAATTCAAAGACAACAGTTTCTAACGTAGGGATGTATAAATATTATAGTTGAGCAATAACACTGATAATTTAAAAGGAAACAACTTCAGAAATGTAAAGGACAATACACAAACGATAGAAATAAAAGCAATGATAAGGTATATTGACAAGTAAGAAAACTCAAAAGACTAGGGGCCTGTTTATCGAAGCGCTATTAGGAATAGCACATGTCCTCCATAACTGTAGGATATATTCTATGCTGGTTAATTTGTAATCAAATACGATCGCCGCCTATATATGTTTATTTAGGGAGCAGTACAAATAATATTTGTAGAATAAGACCGCTTAGGGACTATATTAACCCTCTTAACTACATGTATTTGCGTGATATTGATAGTATACACAAGTATAGATTATCACGTCCGTAGCAGAGGCGCTTGGGGAATGGACCACCCATTTTTTTTAATTTTAATTTTTCATTTAGTTAATATTCTTTAATATTTTAATGCATTTTCACTTATTTGATGTGTTTTTCTCTTATCCAAAAGTTATTAAAATAAGAGTAGTATATATATATGAAAGTAAAGAAAAGAACGAATATGGGGTATCCATTCATGACACAAAATTATTATAATACTTCAATAAAAATGCATCGAATTTCACCAGTAGTAAAAATATTAATAAAGAAAATTAGAATTATCACCAGTATTATTATAAAGATAATAACTAATATGTATCTAATAATTGTACATTCAAACTTTATTATATATTATATATACATTTACTACTGTTATTGTAATAACATTTAGATAACAGAAAGGCTGTACGGTTGCCTATAATTGCTTACATCCACTTCATTTGAACTTTGGTGGATAGTTGTCTCATTGGCAATCATACCACAGCTTCCTATTTTTGTATCATTGCTGGTTTCATAATGCCTCACGTTCAGTGGCAAATATTACATGTATATAAGAATAGAGAGGCATCATATATAAACAAATCGCATTAAGTAGATGAAAAAAGGTTAAAATGATAAAGAATATTTACTTTAAAAAAAGTTAAAACACACACAAAATAATTCATGTACTCCGCATTGATATAAAAGATGCACGAGATTTCCCTTTTAACTCTTTAAATCATAATGTTCTAAAACCGTGACACTTCGAATTAAACTCACTCAAAAATATATATTTAGTTTCACTATTTACAAATAAGTTGTTCTGTTTTATCTTAATATATATATATATTATTTTTATTTTGCTATTTGATTACTCCAACACTTAGGATAACGTTTCGGACATCCTAGGTAAAATACTAGTAAGAAATCTTCGATGTTCATGCTCAGATATGCCCTAAGACAGTCCTTAGTCAAACCTAAACCATGTCTTAAGACAGTCCTAAGTCAATCCTAAATCATGTCTTAAGACAGTCCTAAGTCAATCCTAAATCATGTCTAAAGACAGTCCTAAGTCAATCCTAAATCCTGTCTAAAGACAGTCCTTATTCAATCCTAAATCATGTCTAAAGACAGTCCTAATTCAATCCTAAATCCTGTCTAAAGACAGTCCTAATTCAATCCTAAATCATGTCTAAAGACAGTCCTAAGTCCATCCTAAATCATGTCTAAAGACAGTCCTAATTCAATCCTGAATCATGTCTAAAGACAGTCCTAAGTCCATCCTAAATCATGTCTTAAGACGGTCCTTAGTCCATCCTAAATCATGCCTTAAGACAGTCCTAAGTCCATCATAAATCATGGGGTAAAGTATGTTTCAGAAACATATTTCTAGGACACCTTCGATTAACAGGCCCCTGCATGATAAATGAAGACATGATTGATTTTTTTCAATTTTGAACAATATATTTTATATTCATTGATAAATGGAGATGTGTGATATACCTACAGAAACCAAACAACATAAAGAGGTCAATAATCGACAGATGGTTATACAATATTTCAAGCTCTTATTCGCCCCTAGTCAAGAAAAACAGTGTAAATAAATTTTACTGTTATGAATAAGTGGAGATGAGAATTTTAAATTATTGAGACAACAACTCAACGACAAATAAAGACACCTTAAGGTCGAATTACAGTCTTCAACTATCTATCTAACGCATTTTCGTACTTCTGTATCCAATTTCAATTAGTAGTGTATGATCACAGATTCTAAAATTTGTGAGCAATATGTAATGTAGATACAACGGATAAGTATTGGTTCGTTAAAAAGATACCACGAACCCGGAGTGTGAATGGTATCTTTTTAACGATCCAACGCTTATCCATTTTGTCTTTTATTTAAACTATTGTTGAGAAGTCTTTTCAAAATTATAGTTCTTTCATTAACCAGGCCCTATTATCAGTGAGTTCAAATAACTGCATAATTATCTTGAACGATCGCAAGAAACAACAAATAATTAGAAGTATACAGGTATTGGATTTAAATCATGAAATACTATTTGAACAAAATCGTATGCACTTTAAGTATACTGTATTGAAATTTACTTTGAATTATTATTAATCTGAATATGATCTGTAATTTACAAAATAATTCATATTCGAACAAATTTCTAAGTATATATAATACTTATGTTACCAAATTTTTAGCATGAAACCTAATTTTAAACACATCACGATTTGCTCTCATAGTGATTTGCCAATATGAAAATCTAAAGATAAGTATTAAAACAGATGAAATAACCCTATATGTATATAAGAAAATGACAAATTTAGTGTTATCATTTTCTTTTGATATACGTGAAATAGCCAATAATAAACCAAAAATATACAGGAACGTCTGTTCTTATTGCAAAAATATCATGGTTGATGTTTGTATCTCCATTGTGATTAATTAATATTACTATCTCCATTGTGATTTGTTAATGTTACTATTGACATTGTGATTGGTTTATGGTATGTTTGTATCTCCATTGTGATTGGTTAATGTTACTATCGACATTGTGATTGGTTAATGTTAGCATTTAATGTGAATGGTTTATGTTTGTGTCTTCATCTCCATTGTAGTTGGTTAATATCTCTATTTTGATTGGTTAATGTTTCATGGTTTCTCCATTGTGATTGTTTTATGTTTATAGCATCGACATGATTGGTTTTGAAATGTTGCCTTTTCTTTAAAATCTTACTACTATGTGTTTTGTGTTTTTGTTTATTGAGTTTTAAATACATGCAGCATTGAAGATCATTGAATTTTTTTATCAAAAGGGTATTTCTTTTAAATGCTTTACTAGGTATGTTTGGAATTCATTCTCGTGTGCATATCCACTTTTATTGTATTTTTTAAATATTTGGAGACCATATTAAGATTGCCACTTTAATAAACAAAAAAGAGTAGAAATTCGATGCGTAAGATAAGAAAATTGATCCGTATTTCCGAAATTATGTTGTTACTTTCTGTTTCTATCATGTGAATTATTTTTGTTTTAAAAAGTCATATCAATAGGAGCAAAATGTCTCGGAAATTATGAATAACAGTACAATAGCTGATAGAATTAAGTCCAAAATCAAAAGAAAACAGGTATCATACAAAACATACTCTGCATTTATCTAACATATACTTTGGTTAAAATATTCTCAAACCTGAAGTTTCAATCAAAATTAATGAATTGACGTCTTTCAAATGAGTTTGAACTGGTTAAACTACTTAGTTGTCTAATTTTATTTATACAATTCGTTTTTATACTTAAAACAATGTATCTTTAAAAATCTTCTGTATCTGAATTTTCATCTCGATAAAGCTGTATTAAATCTAAAGTTGGTACAGGCAGAGCTTTTCGCGGAGGTTGTTTATCTGAAGTAATATCCTCAACATCGCCCTCCTTATCTTCAAAATAAATAGAATTTTCATGATTTTGCTCGTTGTTGAAATCATTCTTGTTTTTGTCCATATTTCTTGTTGTCTCCCCTTTTTCACTGTTTTCTTCGCTTGTTGTTAATGAATCGTCTTCATTTTCGCTTTCATAAACTGATAGGTCATGCTTATCGGATGTTACAGATATAGGTGTCGAACATGCTGAACGACCTAATGAACATAGTTCATCGTCCTTAAATTCACAATCCTGTATGAATGGCGGAACGGGAGTAGGTGGCGCTTCACAATCAGTGGTATTTTCGGATGTTATAGCTTCATGAGTCGGGCATGTAAGATCCGGAGACTCAAGTCCTTTGTCTTCCATTTCTGTTTCCTGAACATATGGCAGGACGGGGGTTTGGGGTGTTTCGGTCAGATTTTCCGGCAGTGGTGTAACTGGTTGTAAATATCGATATGGATCTGCTGACAGTAACTCATAAAAGTCATCATCAAAGTCAGGAGTAAAGCCTTTATTGGTAAAGTATAAAGATGTTGCAGATTTAAGAGGGACTAGAGTACGAGAAGGTTTTAGGTTAATATCATCCAATTCCTCGTCTTTTTCTAGTTCATCTATTGAATCGTCGGCATCCAGTTCTAAATCAATCAATGTAGGTTCCTTCAGAATCGGGGTTGGTTTGTATGGAAGAAGTTTAGGCGATGTACTTGATTCTTCTTCAATAGTTTCATTGACACTAGGCTCGCTAGGTTCACAATGTCTTACGGGTTCACAGAATTTAGTTTCCGACCAGGCAAACGAGTCCTCGTGGCGATATGATTGTGGTGGAATGTTAGCTGAGAAATGTTTATTTTTCATAGTCCGGTCATTAGCTTTCATTCCGTCCGACCAGGCAAATGTATCCTCGTGCTGATAGGATTGTGGTGGGATGTTAGGTGAGAAAGGTTTCTTTTTGATAGTCAGACCTTTAGCTTTCATTCCATCCAATATATAAAACGGACAGAGAATAAGCGCTATGAAAACAGAAATCACTCCAATAATACCACTGTATCCCAGGCTTGAATTGTATTCTACCTTGCTCTGAAGGATCAAGAGATGGGCTATTGCAACAAATGTTCCTGGAACAAAAGGAAGAGAAGAGATCTGACTGAGGTAGGACATCAACAAAATTCAGTTGTATAAAGATTTTTGGTGAATTTAAAATGTTGTTTTGATATTTTTTTGTGTAGGCCTCCAAAAAGTGATAGTGTAAAATTATATGTCTAGTATTAATCATGTAGTCTGTAAAAAAAATGAATGAAACATAAAATTGAGAATGGAAATGGGGAATATGTCAAAGCGACAACAACCCGACCAAACAGTAGATAACAGCCGAAGGCCACCAATGGGTCTTCAACGCAGCGAGAAAACGTTTGGTAATGTTGGTTTTTCTTACGATAAAAACGTACAATTAAATATATATTATTAAATGATCTTCCCTTTTCTTCTTAAACTTTATAGTAATGCTGGTTTTTTTTACAACTGCTGCTGCGATAATAACTGTTTTCATTAATAAGAAAATATGATTATTTTCATTCAATTTTAGATTGTCGCATTCATTTGTTTATGATTACAAAATCAGCAGTTTTGTTTTTTAAGTTAGAGTGTGGTTGTTAGACAGATCTTACCAGCTGATAAGGCACTGATAAAGGCTAGAAATTTGATTCCTTTCAACATCTTCCATTTGTCTGAACCGAAATGTGCAAGTGTAGCAGATACACAGAAACAAAAGTAAGCTACTAAGCCAAGACATCCTAAAGGTTGTGTTGTCCTAAGCATGTTATCTGAAATGATAAAATAATTACATTTGATAGAAAAGAAAGGATATGGGTATCCATCCTAGACACAAAATCAGTACATGTTCAGCTCAGCAAAAAACACAAAAAAAGCAAAGGAAAAGCGCTTTTATTGCTGTTCTTCATCTCAAAGTCACAGTGAGGCTTTCAAAAAGGAGCAAAAACTCGCAGTTCTTTTTACAATCGAAAATTGAATATCCGCCGAATAACTGCCACATTGAATAACAACCCAGCTTACCGAATCTATATAAGTCTTTAAATGAGCAGTGATAGTGTTTAATCCATGATTGATATGGTGATTGATCGTTGTTTGTTTAACGTGAAGTGGTTGAATCCATGACAAAATTGTGATACATTGAAGTGAATTAACAGTTATTATTAAAGATTAATTACGAAACGGGCAGAACAACCTTGCTTTGAATAATACATAAACAAATGTATAAAAAATATTATATAGTGATATATTATCTTATTTGAAATAGAGGCCGTGCTCTGTTCCCAGTACCTCTATAAGTTTTTTTTTCTGTTTATGAGTCCCCTTCTTCCTGACATTCCCAGATACGACACTGCATAAATCGAGCCAAATAAAAAACTACCTTGTTCCATCCTACTGTATCAGTGCAACTGAAGTAACACATACCTTTTGCTACCAAAGCACTACAGTCATTCTGACCATTTTCCAGACAAATTTGGAAGAGGCCTGATGTTCTCTTTACGATACCATCAGAATACACAATCCATGCAGGTGTAGCAAAACATGCCAAGTATAGAATAAAGCCGACATATGTGGCAATCAATTGGATACTCTTAGGCCTCAGTAAACGTTTCTTGCACTCCATACTAGCTTCTAATAAATTATATAGTGTCTTCCGGTATTAACCAAAAGTAAATATGTATTACATGAGGATCTGGATAGGGGAAAAAAGGGGGGGGACTCCTTCATATCTTTATTCTTTAATTTTTTAGACCATTTTTCTCTACTCTTTATTTATTTTGCCCATTATTCTCTAGTCTTTATATTTGAGCACCCCATAATTCTCTATTCATTATTTTATTTTGTCGGTTTTTCTCTTTTCTTTACGTTTTTGCCCTCTACTCTGCATATTTTACCCATTATTTTCTATTCTGTAAACCCCATTCAGACCCTCTTACATGCCCTTTCTTATGTGCACTCATGGTGAAATGACTTTGTAATAGGTTTTGTTTTAAACAATAGTAATCATGAATGTTTCTTTATTTGTATAGAATATTACATGAAATAATTATCATATTGCAAATTAACGATTATAAGTTACAACAATAGTAAATTCACTACCTTTTAAAAAATAAAAATTGAAAAAAAACTATAAACAATTTCAAATTTCTAACTTCCTCTCAGTACCAAAGAAATAATTTTTGATGAAAATGTCATCATGTAAAGTAAAGAGAGTCAACAAATATTTCGTTTGGAAATCATGATGGCTGTACCTATAGAAACCTTATTACAATGGATATCACATCTAATTTTTGAGAGGTTTTGTTTATAGAATCCGTAAATTAAGATACACCCCATGAAAACTTATTGATCCTTTGAATAAACTTATTCTGAAAGGTTTTTAATTAAACATTGTAAAATATTTGAATATTGGCTTCATTGATACTATAATTGATTTTGCTTTAAAAAAAAAATTAAAGCATGACTAAACAAATATGGAAATACCGTTATGAACACTTTTGGTTCTACATCCTGTCGATATTTATGTTGGCATTGCACAAGGTCATGCTTATCTCATACTGAATATGTAGTCTTTACACTAAATCCATTTGATGTGTACTAATTGATAGTTAAGTTTCGGAAAACATGACTTATGTATTAGCTATAGAATTGGCTTTAAACAGTTTTAGTAAATTTTGGGAATATTTAGGAGTTTTACGTGTACTTGGTGCAAATCTGATGAGTCACGCATTTTCCAACTGACTTTATTAGTTTGTTCTTGTGTTATGCTTGCCCCAAGTAAAGGGAGAATAAAGTGTTCACAAACATTTTTAACCCCGCCACATTATGTGTGTGTCTGTCCCATGTCTTGAGCCTGATAGTCAGTTGTTTTCGTTGAATGCTGTGCGCCACACCGTTTTGACCATAAATCAGGCCTTATGTCACGCGTGGGTCTTTTATCGCTTACTGAACGGTATGGGTTTTGCTCATAGTTGAAGGTACATATTTGTTTTATAAAATTATGATTCTATATATGTACTTTTTTTATAATTAAATTCTCACGAATGTTACAATAAATTAATTGATTTGAGACAAAATTATTTTTTTTACAAAGTATTAATTTTCAAATATACTTCGCATACGCGTTATATATAAGATCTAACGAAACATCTAGATGGAGGAAAAATAATCTTTAAACTATAATTAGTTTGTAATTATTTTATATTTGAAGATTACTGTGAGAATTTTAGAAAAAAAACCAAATCTTTTAACATTATAGATTAAGTTAAGAGTTAGTACAAGGTAAATAAATTTCATTTATAATGTAGTTTATATAAGAACATGCACACTCCTTTTCGTCTGATTTCAAAATTGTTAACTCCATTTGAATGTTAACAGGATCCATATTAGTTTTATCATAATTGCTGGCACAATATTACAGATATATAATTATGTTGGTGTGTTTAATTAACAGAAACATACCTTCACCTACATATATAGCATTGAGGCGACACAAGTCTCACGTTCAGATGATCAATCATTAATTTTTTTCATTAAAGAGCAAGATATTTTATACAACCATACGAATATTACGGAAGCGTATTCGGTCACGAGTTTATAGTAATTTCGTCGAAAAGTTGTGTTTTATATTAGATTTATTATAATCGCTGGAACGATATTACAGATATATATATGATTATTTTGGTGTGTTTAATTAACAGTAACACACCATTGCCTACATATTAAGCATTGAGGCGACAAGTTCTCATTGAAAATTTATTATTTTTGTTTGTTAAAAATTAGTAACTATGTACATATAATTACTATTAATATAAAAATAAGGAGATGTGGTATGATTGCCAATGAAACAACTATCCACCAAAGTTCAAATGAAGTGGATGTAAGCAATTATAGGCAACCGTACGGCTTTCAAGAATGAAAAAAATACATACCTTATAGTCGGCTATAAAAGGCTCCGACATGAAAAATATGAAACAGTCCAATTGAGAAAACTAACGGCCTAATTTATAACAAAACAATTTACGAAAAACAAATATGACAGATATGAATTAACGACAACCACTGAACTACAGTGAGTGGCGTTACAGCACAACATAAGAACAAACTATAAAAATCAGTTGAAAAAGGCTTAAGGATGTACTTAGGTGAAATTAAAAAAAATCTAGAATTTAAAATTGATACAATAAGTCAGAAGAGCATTAGTTAAGGAACAAAATAAACTAAAAAGATTGATAGGTTATGGAGCTCCTTTTCGAGATATTTAATATTTAAAAAATGGCGGGAAAAGACTGACTCGAACTTTAACTTTTATTTGTATTGGTATTATTTGGGTCTCAAATCGAAACAAAAGAAATCTAGAATCTGCTTTAATTTTGGTAAATGACCTTTTATGAGCTATTGAAGTCTTATATGAAAAGAAAAAATGGTGTTATGGGGCAAAATATTTTACCTTGTATCTTAGGAAAAAAACCAAGGAGTCCGAACATCTGACAAAAATTCCTATTCATTTACCAAAATTAAAGCAGATCCAATGGAATAGTGTAAAGACGTCATTAAGAGACAGAGAAAAAACATGACCTTGTACAATGCCAAAATATAGGCATTGACATATTGTAGTATCGTGAAAGTACATATGTGTAATATTTAGTATGGTTTAAATTTACTGATAACAAAATCAATATTTATACCAATAAAAACATTTTCAAAGATTAAATTACAATGTTGAATAGGTAACTTTTAAGAATAAGTTTATTTAAATGATTGGTAAGTTTACCCGGATCGTAATTTAATTTCCGGGCTCGGTTAACAACATCACCGTAAAATTGAGGATGTGCTATTCCGTTTCAAATAAGTTTTCTACAGGTACAGCCAAACTTGATACCAAATCTTTGTATCTATGGAAGAATATAGTAAAGGTTTTAAGTAATTTGTGGTAACGAAATCCCTGTAATTATTTACTAGTAATACATAGATTACGCTCATTGAAATCCGAAACGTCACTACAGACACGAGCGTAGCGAACGAGTTAGGATATATAAACACCGTAAGACGGTGCCAAAGGTGCATCACCGTCCCAAAAAAGAAAAATGAACAATAGGGAAAGAAAAATCATCCCGTTTGTCGTAAATTTTTGTGTAGAGTTTCTGATGTAATACTGAAATATCTAAATCTAGGAAAGGACAGTTATTGCTGTTAATATTTGATTTATTTAATGTAAGTTCCTTTGGGTAAATTTCAGCAGTATATTTAGAAAATTCTTGATTATTCAACGAAAAAATATCATTAAGATAACGGTAAGTGTTGTTGAATTTATCAATTAAATTGAATTAAGACGGTTCTTTTCTGAATTTTTCCATAAACTGTGATTCATAACAGTATAGGAACAAGTCTGCTATTAAGGGGCACAATTGGTGCCCATAGGAATAACTGCAACCTGTCGATAAACTTTATTGCCGAAACGTATTTTATTGCCCAAAATAGTTCTATATTATATGCTGATGTCGGGAGAAATTTTTTGATTTCATAATCATTTACATTTTTTTTTTATTCGAGCGTCACTGATGAGTCTTTTGTAGACGAAACGCGCGTCTGACGTACACAACTTTAATCCTGGTATCTACGATGAGTTTATTTACAAGTAAATTTTACAAATAGTGCATGCATGTTTTCCAATGATGTAATCTTGAATCCTTACCTACATTATAAAAACATATTCTATATCGTATAAATGCATTCCCTTTTTGATGAAAAAGCAACTGTGCATGGTGACTAAAACACAAATTCATGTATGATATATGTGGATTGAACCTATCACATTTGTGGTTTAATATCACATTTTGAAAATAATTTAGTAATATTTAAAATAAAAGAGTACATAATAATCCTATTTCTAGAATAAGAATCAAACTTCAAGTATTCGCAAAGCGGTTTGTGTTTGTACCTGCCGACAAAGCAGCCACAACTGTGGTGGTGGTATGACGCAAATAGTACACAGAAGTTCTTACAATGAAATTATAAATTCTTTTACATTCAGGTCAGTGCGCTCCACAGAGAGTCATATAGTAAACAGTCATATCATAACCACATCACAGCTTTAAGGCCTCTTCTGGACATTTGAAGGTCCCTCTTATGTATTGGTTACCTAAACTACGCAAAGTAACCGTAAAATATCGTTCCATCTCGGCCTCTAGTAAGTGTTCTTTAACTATTCTTTCAGTGCTTTTAACTAGTTCCTTAAAGAACTTATCATTAACTATTGTAATAAAACATATGAAAATAGTGGAATTAACTATTTTTGGAGTGTAAAAGTAAAAAATTCTTTGCATGTGTTACATAAATTACGTGCGTTTGATGGTCCTTTTGATTCTGCTGATAGTTTTGACTTTTCAACTCTTTACACAACACTTGCACACAATGTCATGTTTTTCTCTGAATTTTAATGACGTCTTTTCACTAAATCCATTAGATGTTGAATGTGTACTGATTCCTATTTTAGTCTTAGATGAATTATTTTTTTATTAGTTGTTATTTGCTTTAAATTAGCTGTCAGTAACTGCGAATACTCTCAGATCTGTACTTAATGTCTTTTTTTGTTGGGGGATGTATAAATACCCTGCCATGTCCGGTCTTTGTTTTTGTTAGATGTTTTTCTGCTTTGTATCGATTTGATGAGTTCAGTCCTTTTCAACTGATTTTTTATAGTTTGTTCTTATGTTGTACTGTTACATCACTGTCCCAGGTTAGGGGGAGGGTTGGGCGCCAACAACTAGTTTAACCCCAACACATTATGTATGTGCCTGTCCCAAGCCAGGAGCCTGTAACTCATTGGTTGTCGATTGTTGCTGTATATCATATTTGTTTTTCGTACATTGTTTTGTTCATAAATTAGGCCGTATGTTTTCTCGTTTGAATTGTTTTACATTTGTCATTTCGCAACCTTTTATAGCTGACTTTGCGTAATGGGTTTTTCTCATTGTTGAAGGCCGCACGGTGCCATAAAGATTGTTAACTTCTATGTCATTTGGTCTCTGATGGAGAGTTGTCTCATTGGCAATCATACCACATCTGCTTATTTTTATAAATACATGTACTATGTTAACTCCTACGTTATTTGGCCTCTGGCGGAAAGTCGTCATATTGGCAATCATACCACTTCTCCTTATTTCTATATCATCTACACACTGAAAAATCTAAATATACCTGAAAACGTATATATTTTTGTTCTTTCCCTTCCACTCGCATCAAGTTGAATAATAAAGTTGAGTCCATAAACAATTTGCAAAAAAAAAGTTTAATAAGATCATGGTTAATTTCGTATAATTATGATATATTAACCACAACAGCAATACATATTCAAACAAAAAGAAATGTGGATTATTTTGAAAGAATATGAGGTCCGATTAATCTGCAAGTATCAAGGGATTTGTTCAGGTTGTTATGATGTTAACTATTATTAAAAGAGCTAATCATACCAGTAAAGAAATTACAGCAGATTCCATTTAGTGTGTAGCCAAAGGTAATATCTTTGGTTAGCTTGCTTGTTAGCTGAACCGTGAAGTCATTGTTAGGTTAGGTAAACTACCCTACTTTAAGAATAGACTAGTCAGACAGAAAACCAATCGATCTGTCTGTTGGACTATGCTACTTCGAAAGGAGGGTAGTATACCTGACCTAATAATGACTTCACGGTTCAGCTAACAAGCAAGCTAACCAAAGATATTACCTTTGGCTACACACTCAATGGAATCTGCTGTAACCCATTTAAGAAGCTGATAATACTAGTGAAGAAGTTATCCCATTTTAAGAGCTAATCATACCAGTAAATAAACAAATCTGTGAGACCATCAAAGGTATAACTTAAATTATATTCAAAACTATTTAAATTGTATATATATGATATGCAATACAACATTCACACCCATGCATACCCTTATTGCAAGCAATATGTTATGTTTTCATACAAACATATGTTTAACAGATAGATTATAGATTTTATTGTCATTGCATGACTTATTTTACAAATATGCAATTCATCAGGTAAGCTGAGTCCGTGCAAGTTTCAAGGTAATACACAATTAACTTACATTTGAAGCATTTATGCATCACAGTTACCATTGAGGATGAACCTTTTCTGTTATTTTAAAGCAAGTTTTTTAGTATATGTAATTAGTAATTATTCCATATTACCATAGCAACCAACCAAAATTAAAAAAGTTACTTCTATTTCTGACGTTATATGAAAATGCTTAGATTAATTGATCATTTACAAATTAATTTCCCCAAAATATCCATGTATGTTTTCCTAATAAGGTATCATGGCATCCTTACCTACGTAGGCAAGAAACACTGGTATTGAGTCACAACTGTTATATTTCAGAAAAAAAAGCTGTAGACATTTGAAAGAGAACATTAGTAGTTTAATACATTTTTGTTTTATATTTCAGAGTGTGTTTGTCATACCTTTGTTTATATGTTGCACTGACGAGACATTTATTGTCGTTTGTCATACCTTTGTTTATATGTTGCACTGACGAGACATTAATTGTCGTTTGTCATACCTTTGTTTATATGTTGCACTGACGAGACATTAATTGTCGTTTGTCATACCTTTGTTTATATGTTGCACTGACGAAACATTTATTGTCGTTTGTCATACCTTTGTTTATATGTTGCACTGACGAGACATTAATTGTCGTTTGTCATACCTTTGTTTATATGTTGCACTGACGAGACATTAATTGTCGTTTGTCATACCTTTGTTTATATGTTGCACTGACTAGACATTAATTGTCGTTTGTCATACCTTTGTTTATATGTTGCACTGACGAGACATTTATTGTTGAGATGCGGTACTCTGGCGCCGTATAATTAGTACTGTTTATGTTAGTAATGTACATGACAATTTCTAGACACGCCATATTAATATAGTTTTGTTTATACTTTATACTTTACATACGGATAACAAGAGATGAACCAATACACTTGAATATTCAGAGTTTCCGTAGTTTATTTCGATAATATGATTATATCTTGTTCATTCTAAATTTGCCAGAAAGGACTCTTTGATTAATTGTACTTTGAGGTATAGGCTTTTCTGTAATCTTTATAGTTTCTTCTGTCGTTGTAGCAGTTTCGGACTCTTGCAATAAGTGGTCAAAACTTAATTCGGTTGATTCTGGCATTTCTTCTGTTTTATACCTTACTACAAAGTCTTCGAAGAAGTGTGGTAGTTCATCTTTCTTTTTCTTTTTCTTTTTCTTACTTTTGTCATTTTTTCTTTCGCTTTTATCTTCTATTCTCATTTCTTCACTATGGGATATTTCATTAACGTCGGGTTCTTTAGTAATTTTGTCGTATACTTGTTCTTCTAACTTCGAGCTTATAAGTTCAACAACCCGTGGGTTTTCAACATCGGTCCTTTCTTCTTTTTCATATGTTTGTTCTGTAATTGTCTGATCTGTTGTTTCTTCTTTTTTCTTTTTTTTATGATGTTTCTTCTTTTTCTTTTTGGAGCCAGTTGACTCGTCCATGTCTTCATTCGTATGTGCTTCTTTTGAATCTTCTTGTTTTTCGCGTTTTTTGTCCAATATCCCGGTGTCCACAATACCTGTATTCGTATCAGGTTTATATTTTTGCTTATTTTCAAAATGAACAATATTGTTTTCTGACTGTTGCAAAGCAGGTACTTCGGGATAAAGTAATAGTGCGTCCCCTATAGCCCCTTCTTCAGCACTTTTGTCGTATACTAGTTCTTCTAACTTCGGCTTTGTTGCATCAATAGTCTTAGATTTTTCAAAATCAGGTTGTTTTTCCTTTTCATGAGTTGTTAGTTTTGACAACGCCATTTGTTCTGTATTTGTCGTATCAACTGTTTCTTCTTTTACATGTTTCTTTGCTTTGTGTTGTTTCTTCTTCTTCTTCTTTTTCTTTTTGGAGCCCGTTGATTCTGATTCGTATACATCTGCAGTCTTGTGCTTTTCATTTGAAAATTCTTGTTTTTCATCCTGGTTCTTGTCTAATATCTCATTATGGGCAACGTCTTTAATACCAAATATATCTATGTCCGTATCACGTATTTCTTTCGTTTCTTGATCCATCACCTCTGGTTTATTTTCGAAATCATTTTTTTCTGTTAATGGTTGCAAAGCAATCATTTCGGGATAAGATAATAGCATTTTATCTGTAGTTTCTCTACTGTCTTCTTCATTCGTTTTATTATAATCTTGTTCCATTACCTTTTCTTCTTTCTTTTCTGATTCTTTTATTGTTGCTGTGTTCTTGTTTTTGATCATATTAAGAAGTGTAGATGAACGCTTTTTCGACTGTTTAGATGTAGAGGGTCTAGGTTCATTATACACTTCCATTATTTGCGAGTGATAGGTCGGACAACGATCCAAAATGAATGTAGTTTCCGGTGCTAAACTGGATAGAACAGGTGGTAGTTGCGGCTCTGTTCTGTCCCAACGCTTTTGACGTTTGTCACGTGGTTTGTCTAGTTGTTTTGTTGTTGTTATACCATCAATTATGTAAAACGGAGCTATGATAATAGCGATTACATCTGCAACAAGTCCTAGGTACCCACTATAGCTCAATTGGCTGTCTTCGAAGGTGTCACTTTGTAATATTGTCAGTGTTGCCATGGCAATAAAAATACCTAAAAAGAAAATAATTATAAAAGCATAAATGTAGTTACATTATATGATGATAACTTTTAAATCAAGTGATAGCATTGTTTCGAGAGTTTAATGAAACTAAAGCATACTTGTTGTTACAAGTTATTAATTCAAGAAATGAAATTGTCTTGATAGTTTAATGACCATACTATCTTTTTTATAACCTGAGGAAGTGTTGCTTGATGTAAGTGGAAAGTCTACATATTTCTTAATTTTACATTAACATGTAAATTTTAAGCTTTCGTTTATGTTGGAAAAAATGCCAATAGAAAAATACTAAAACTTTCTTATATCAATATTTAGTGGAAGATTGATAAATCGAATTTGGAACAATTCTATTTACTTTTATAGCTAGAGAATTCGAAAAGTATAAAATGTTTCATTTCTTAACATTGATACAAAACTTGAAAAAAGAATCAGAGAAAAAAAATTTTTATATAGAAAATACAAATTCAAACAATACATTAAAATTTTGATTTTCGAATCTTATTAAGAAAACGATTTTTTGAAAAAAACTTCAAAAGCATTTTTTTTTTTTTTTTTGCAAAACAGGTTGATTTAAAAATATCTTTTTCTAAATAAAATGATCATTGTTTGGCGTAAATGTACACTAAAAAGGGTGTAAATATGAAAAACCCTGAAACGAAGAATGGAATAAAAAATAAAAATGTACCGATGAAGATTGGTTTTTTTATGTTTCATTTAGATTGACTCTAGACAATGTGAATGTTGTGATGGGAAACAATTCCTTGTGTCAATCAAAATTTGTTGACAAAAAAATATTTCCAACTTCAAAAAAATATATATAAACTTAAAAAAAGATAAAATGGATAAATTTTTAAATGATTTTTTTACTTTAAAGATCATAGCTATTAGTAATTTCTTTTGATTTTTTTAAAAGTGTGGCCTTGTATGTGTGGGGTTAAGAATTGTTTTCTCCACCTTTGAGAATAGGTGGACGCCGCCTATGACGCGTTTATTTTCTTTGAATACATATCCAAAGAGCTCTAACCATAGAATTCCCCGGCACGTCTCTAGTAGATAAGTTATGAGAGCTGACAATAGTTGGTTGTGTTTGGAGGGTTCCATATTCTTCACGAAAAAGGCTCCTTTTGCCTCGTCGGCAATTTTTATTAAAATGTCACGAACAATGCATGTCTCATCTCTCTTCAAATCCTTCAATTTTCATAAATGCATGAAATGTTTCATGCAGAATGGATCAAGGATTGTCAATAGTTTTGTACATGAAAATTATATTTATTATATTTATAGAATAATGCTGTGTTTGGCATTGCCAATGTGAAAATCGCAGCCAAGTTTAAAGACATATATACTGTATATGACGACCTGAACCATTGCAAAATAACATGTCAGGCTCTGAATTTCACACCGTTTTAATTTCATTTTTAAATTAGAATAGATACCAGATGCAATTTTACAATACCTTCTATTAATGCTGTGATAAAAGATGTAAGTTTGTGGTACCTGCCAATAACGCCGTGATACTAGATGCGAGTTTATATTACCTGCCGCGAACGCCGTGATACTAGATGTAAGTTCATATTACCTACCACTAACGCCGTGATACTTGATGTAGGATTATATTACCTGCCGCTTACGCCGTGATACTAGATGTAAGTTTATATTACCTACCACTAACGACGTGATACTTGATGTAAGTTTATCTTACCTGCCGCTTACGCCGTGATACTAGATGTAAGTTTATATTACCTGCCGCTAACTCCGTGATACTTGATGTAGGATTGTATTACCTGCCGCTTACGCCGAAATACTAGATGTGAGTTTATATTACCTGTCGCTAACGCCGTGATACTAGATGTAAGTTTCTCTAATTCTTCGTCAATTTATCCCTTTCTGCACCCATTGTATAAAAAAAATTTAATCAACGTGTGGGTCGTTTGGTCTCAGTTCTTCATTGGTTAAAATCCGATTATGACGTCGAATTTTCTTGCTTTCCTCTGAATTTCCTATTGTGACGGCATGAAAAAAGGCGACCATGCCTGATGACGTCACATAGAAAGAACACATCTTTTTGCAGATCATTCGAAAAGAAGGAATAAATTTGCCTGCGTATTGTTTGAAAATCATTAGAGAAACAGATTCCACCACCAAATCTCGTGTAATACGATATTTATCCACTCTCGACAGTTAAATTTTAAATATTTAAAACGCTCGGCGAGCCTCGCGTTTTAAATTTGAAAATTTAACTGTCTCGAGTGGATAAATATCGTATCACACTCGATGCAGTGGTAGAATCTTTATTTATATAATTTGCCACTAACGACGTGATACTAGATGTAAGTTTATATTACATACCACTAACGCTGTGATACCAGATGTAAGTTTATATAACTTGCCACTAACGACGTGATACTAGATGTAAGTTTATATTACCCGCCACTAACGCCGTGATACTAGATGTGAGTTTATATTACCTGTCGCTAACGCCGTGATACTAGATGTAAGATAATATTACCTACCACTAACGCCATGATACTAGATGTGAGTTTATATTACCTGTCGCTAACGCCGCGATACTTGATGTATATAGATTATATCATGGCATTTTTCATATCAGACCCCTTATCAGCCCTAGGTCATGATATCAGCCCGAGAGCCGACAGGCTCGAGGGATGATTTTGACCATGGGCTGATAAAGGGTCTGATATGAAAAATGACATGTTATGTTCTTTTTATCATATACTTCAGCAGAAGACATACAGACAAAAACTATTTCTAAAACTTTGAAAAAATGCATTTGTTGAAATATTTGTTTTGCATTTTTTAACAATATATTTTCTTGATTCCTAATATTTTTTTCATCCAACTTTGTTATGTTTACACAAAATAAGTACCATTGAGGTGTATTTTCCGGAATTTTCCGAATGACGTCGAATTGTCATGCGATAACGTTACAGAAAAGCATACGCTAATAACCGGAAGCAGTTGATATAAAACGGAAGCAGTTGATATAAACCGGAAGCAGTTGATAACAAAAGTCTTATCACACGGCAAAAGCAATTCTTCAAATTTAATGAATAAATATATGTACAAATTAGTTTTATCATGGGGTACAATTATACCCTTATTTTCTATAAGTACATGATAAAAGTTTATATAACCTACCACTAACGCCGTGATACTTGATGTAAGATTATATTACCTGCCACTAACGACGTGATACTAGATGAAAGTTAAGCTTACCTGTTGCTTACGTCGTGATAATAGATGCGAGTTTATATTACCTGTCGCTAACGCCGTGGTACTAGATGTAAGTTTATATTACCTGTCGCTTACGCCGTGATACTAGATGTAAGTTTATATAACTTGCAACTAACGACGTGATATTAGATGCAAATTTATAGTACCTGCCGCTAACTCCGTGATACTAGATGTAAGTTTATACTATCTACCACTAACGCCGTGATACTTGATGTAAGATTATATTACCTGCCGCTAACGCCGTGATACCAGATGCCAGTTTAATTCCTTTTAGTTTTTTCCAATGTTTTGTCCAGATGAACGTCAATGTGGCAGATATTCCATATACAGTATACATAGCAAAGCCCAGTGATCCCAAAACTTGTGACATTTTAAACAAGGAATCTAAGATCAAAAGAAACTTGTATCATCATCATTTGTTCTTATACTTTTATTGCTTAAAATATGATACTCTGTATTTATTAGATCGATGGATTTGGTTTATTTTAGGTCTTTTTTGGTCATATAGCTCTTTCTGTTTCGGTTCTTATATATCCTTCGCTTTCAGATATTCGGCTTTGGGCGTACCTGGTGAAGGTAAATCCAGAAAAGAGCTTCGGATGAATGAAATTTATAACGTGTTGTTTTTATTTTTTATATTTCTTTTATTAATGGCATCCATTTAAAGTTTTTTTTGTCCTCATTTTACTTCAGTTGCCCTGTTATTTTTAGGGTTATGGTTCATTTTAAGGTTGTGTTTGGATTAGAATTTGGCTTGTGGTTAGTATTGGGGTTTTAATAAGTTCAGATAAAAAATATGGAGGATAAAAAGATTGTGAACACTTTGGCCATATATAATGACGGTAAAATACACCATTATACATTACTATTTACATATTCTATTATATTTAATCGCCTACTTTTCTCTGTACTTGTTTTTTGAATTCAATAATTCTTCAATACTGACTTATATATATTAATTTAATAAGAAAACAAATTAAATCACCTTTTTTAATCTTCCAACTGTATACCATAACATTGACTAAAGCATATAAACTTTAAAGTTAATTGATGGAATATGACACTTTAATGTTCACGACCATTCCATGTGAAATCAAAATTATTTTATAATGTGACTTTAAATGTTTCTCCTGCTTCAGTACACCAGTAATATCATAGTTATGCCATACAAATACTTTTTGTGTGGTGTTTACGAGTACCAGGTAATAATGTGTCCATGCATAATACAATTTATAACATGTGATGATGAAGCTGGTATGGTGAAATTGTTTCACTCACGAAGTTAAGTTCTGCAAAGTTTGTATTTATGTTTTTGTATTTTTTTTTTTTTTTTGTATTTAGAACATCGTTAACCAAAATAAATGTGTCTGTATCTGAAACAATACATTGATAGCTGTTGCAGTACCTTCGTTATCTTGGTTTTGGTTCAAAATGTTTTTCTTATTCATTTTTTTATAAGTATCCAAAATTTGTCAAAACAATCAACATTAAATAACTTAAATATTGATATACATTTTAAACTGGCGAGGTTTCTGAATTTGGACATTTTTTTAAAAATTATTATAGATCAGTTCTCAGTTACTGACTGCTGTTCAGTCTGTAATTTTTTGTGTAATATATTGTGGACTGCAGTTTGTTTTTTAGTCACGTTTTTTTCTCTTCATTTTGCTCATGGTTGTTTGTTTTCTTCGACTTACAATTTGTATTGTCTCTTGGTATTTACTCATATACTGAAAGCAAGCTCAAGAAACTTAACCTATATAGAATCATGCCGTCCTAAACTGTAATATCGGCGGCTGTAGTGCGAAGCAGATTTCATACAGTATCTGCATAAAAAGTACAGGAGGCACCAATCTTGTGCAATGACAGACTTTTTGAAAACAACCCTAGTGTGATATGAATTCATGGAAAATTTATTTTCACCTCTTCTACGATTTTCAAGAGATTCGAACAGTGGATATACATACCATAGTTGCTATTTCGAAGGAAATGGATTTTCAATTCGGAAAAGTATCTGAATTTGGATTCTGGGTTTATTGGTAGTCGACTTACACTGCCATGCATTGGCTATACCATCATCACTCCTTGCAGACAAAAATAAATGAGCATGGGTCTGATACAACTGGATACGGTATGGTGGAGGGCTGGGTGCCCGTAAATATGTTTAACGTCACCCCGCCGTATTTGGTATGTAAAATTGAGAATGGAAATGGGGAATGTGTCAAAGAGACAACAACTCGACCAAAGAGCAGAAAACAGATGACGGCCACCAATGGGTCTTCTACACAGCGAGAAAATCTCGCACCCGGAGGCGGCCTTCAGCTAGCCCCTAAACAAAAATGTGTGCCTGTTCCAAGGCAGAATCCTGCGATTCAGTGGTTGTCGTTTGCTTTGTGTTTCATTATTGTTTTTTTTTTTTTTATTCATTAATAAATAAAATACGTTACCAAGTCAAACAAGAAATGACAAATTATCATATACATTTGTAATGGCTTCAAAAACACATTTCCCCCTTATTTTGAAGAAAAATAATAGAATTGGCTTTAAAAAAAATGAGTAATCTATTTTCTGTTCAATTATAAGAAACATCTAAAATTTTGCATAAAAAGTTTTAATTTTACGTGTCCTGCAAATCAACATTCAGTAAAGTTTTAATCGAAATATCAAACCTTTCTTAACACCAGTAGTACAGTCATTCTCAACACATGTAAGGAAAAATCCTGCATTGTAGGTTACTGTGTCAAATGTATATGTTATCCATGATGGCGTCACAAATCCAACAAAATATAGAAAACATCCAATATATGTGATAAATAATGCTGTTAATCTCGTCCGTGTTGTAAATAAACTGGACGTCTTGCAAGCCATGGTTGGCTATGTTTTTTTATGAAACAGACATACTGTAAGCCAACTACCATACAATGTGCAACTTTGACATAAACTACTTTTGTTAGTTTGATTTTAAAGTAACGTTATATGTGTGTGTATACACATCTTACGGCGTTAAATATCTAGTTCTTTGTTTGGTTAAATCACAAATCATTATACTTATTTTCTTATGAAAATATCATAGTTTTTAAATTGTGTCACAGTTAATGATTTTGAAATTTAAAGATTGGCCTAGACGTGTAAAATTAATAAAAAGTGCGTTACGGTTATCCACAGTGGAAGTTGGAAGGTTAAAACAAAATGCAACATTGATCTAAATTTGGTCCGTTTGTCCATGATCCCATTACGTTTTCCATTAATTCGTTTCATTTGAATTAGAATTTATAAAATATGTCAAACACTAATGCTCTAATAATTAGTCAATGCCACATGTATAGTAGAAAGTCTAAATTTATAAAAAATGTCATACACCAATGCTCTAATAATTAGTCAATGCCACATGTATAGTAGAAAGTCCAAATTTATAAAATATGTCAAACACTGATGCTCTAATGATTAGTCAATGCCACATGTATAGTAGAAAGTCCAAATTTATAAAATATGTCAAACACCAATGCTCTAATAATTAGTCAATGCCACATGTATAGTAGAAAGTCTGAATTTATAAAATATGTCAAACACCAATGCCCTAATAATTAGACAATGCCACATGTATAGTAGAAAGTCCAAATTTATAAAATATGTCAAACACCAATGCTCTAATAATTAGACAATGCCACATGTATAGTAGAAAGTCTAAATTTATAAAATATGTCAAACACCAATGCTCTAATAATTAGACAATGCCACATGGTATAGTAGAAAGTCTAAATTTATAAAATATGTCAAACGCTAATGCTCTAATAATTAGACAATGCCACATGTATAGTAGAAAGTCTAAATTTAGCTGAAGTCTTATATCAAATAATTGCCGTACTAGAGTAAATTCAGAAGTTTTTGCGATGTTTATATTATCGCAAAAATTGTGACGGGATAGGCGTCTTAAAAATAAAACCTCGCACTATTAATTTTGAAAGCATTGTTTGTATGCAGCCTTTACTGAAATCGTAATAATTAATTTCTCATGTGTGTCTATGGGGGTAGGAATGCCCTTTACCGTCAGGCGTCAAACGTTCATTTTCGGCTACCGTTAGCGTCAAATTGGTTAAAATTTTACCGTGATTCGTCAAAATGTCCTTATCGTGATTCGTCAGAGGTCTCAAATAGTTATCGTTACCGTTATTTTTGGAAAAAAAATTAACGTGATTCGTCAAAATTAGTCGATTTTTTTATCGTCTTAAAGAAAGTGTATATTTTATCGTCATGCACCAAAAATTACCGTTAACGTACGCGTCATTTGGCAAGATTTTTTACCGTGATTCGTCATGAAGGTACCCCCATTACGACCCTCGTCTATAGTTCAACAATCGCAATAGTAAATGCACTCAAAAATTTCTATTTTTACAATAATGTGTTTGTTAATTAATTATGACGAATGAAAATGTGGCTTCAAAAAAAGTAGAATTATGAAATAATCACACATCTTTTTTTTCATATTAGTCCCAATACTCAAAGGTGATTAAAAAAATATTGATACATTTTGGTAAATTGTCGGTGTTAGTCTTAATTGTAAAATTTGTTACTTAGTTTTATCACAAATATTGAGATTTATTGTTGATTTCACATTTACGAATTTAATCAAAGTGGTGTTTTGCATCCAGCTTTTTACAAAAATGATACCAATTTCTGAAGCTAACAAGATAACGAGTTATTCTTCTTTCTCTTTCGCTTGATAAATTGATGAAGGTTGTTCACTTGTTGTTCGATAACTTTCTGGATATACATAAATTGATTATAATATATTTATGGTTTGAAGCAATACTAGATTTCCTTCATTATCTGCATGTAATTCTGTAGATTGTTCTGGGCATTGTACAAAATCGCCATTTTCGTCTTCTATAAGTCTTTTGGTTATGTATGTTGTCTTCTTAACTGATACACCACATTGTCTTTTTTATTCATATTCCAAATAAAAATGTTATTGTATGTTAATGTACGTATATTGCCCTTTAGAAACCAATCGAATGCCATCTGATGCAAAATATTACAAAATAAACAGCTGCGCCATAAGCGCATGATACGCCCGTCGCTTTTTCAAAGAATAAAGTTCAATAACTTCTCAATGTCATATCAGAAATTTATGAAAAACTGAAGGGAGGTTAT